TGCACAGATAAGCAGAGGTGTTGATGAATTTCTTAAAAGAATAATTTTATACTATTTGTAGATATACCTATACCAAAGTATGTCGATAAAAGAGTAATTAACAGTAATCTGGATCCAAATCCTGCAATAAACACTTAAACAAGCCTATCAAAGTGGCTATCTATGCTATCTATGGTCTTGTTAGGAGTAAATCTTACACACAACTAAAAAATAAATTGGACAAAACGATACAAGGTTAACTAAATCCGCTACGCTCCACATCACTTTTAATTAATAAATGCAGGATTTAGTTTGTTTCTATTTAGTGTTTTTCTAATGCCAACACACTATGTCTAATTTAAATTGCATGGTTAGCTATATTTGGATTAGGCAGGGTATAATTTTAAATATCACGGTTTTAATTTATGGATGATATTAAGCAGGTATATCGGGTTTACTCAAATGCACAGATATACTTGAAATTTATATAGCGTATTACCCAGTGCTCCCTCTGCGTCATATTTTTTTGAAAATTTTTTTTAATTTAGATTTAGAGATATTGTTGTCGGAAGTTGTTCATTTTAACATAGGTTTATATGGCGACGATGGACGGTGCGGCTCTTTTTTGCCCATAACTGTGAAAAAAATGTAGAAATTGTGAAACAAAGCTTTTCCATAGATAGTACACAGTATTATCTTATTTTTGATGTAAAACTAATGTAAATTTTGAACATAGTAGAAACAGAAACCAATAATTGCATTTCTGTCTGACTTGAGTATTAATGTGACAACGTCGCAATCAGCTGACAGCAAGGAGGGAATACATTTGAAAGACCTGATAAAAACGAAATTGATTTCAAACATATACATTTTTCCTAAATCCCATGTCCATTGTTATCAACAATAAATTATCCACTACAAATAATTTTTTGTAATGTTTTTAAAAAACTAGATTAATTAAAAAAGCTAGGAAGCTGTGATATATTTATTGGAATAACATATACAGTTAATAAATCCTTTTAATATATTTAATGGTTTATAAAAACATCGTAATCATTACCCAGCAATATTTAGGATTACATAAAGTTTTCTTTACTTGATTAATATAATTAGTAACACTTGAGATGAAAGCATTTGTACGGAATAACAAAGGAACATAAATATTTCTCAGCAAACTTTATATCTAAAAAATTAGTTATATGTAGTTGCAAAACTTCTGTAACATTACTAAAATAGAGATCAAAAACACGAACAGTGAGTAATAATGTAATTTCTATGACAGAACCTTCAAAATTGCATCCAACATTTTCTTTGACTTGGACGAAAGATTGGCGCGAGTGTCATTTCATTTCTTTAGAACTAAATTAACATAATTCTCGTTGTTTTACCAGTTCACATGATTTACGGATTTTAAATAAAGGATACAAATCTTCGCGAGGATAATACGATATATTTGCTATATAATAATTATATTGTACATAGTTTACACACAATACATTTTTGAACGCGTACGCATCTTTACCCGAATTTGACGAGCAATATCTCCGATGTCCGAGGTTTGTAGGTTCGCAGTGTGTACAACTGCTAGTCAATTATTAGCGCTGTTGCCACATCTACATAGTCTTTATGCGTTCATTAAATATGATTTAAAACTACTTAAATATGATATTTTTATGTTGTTAATTAGTCAATATGTATGCTATGTGCATATGAGTAGATTTCTTTGCTATATAGATATTGTTTATCGCAGATAATTTCAATAGAATTTAATTTTTTCAAATTGGCAGCGGGTTTTAGTTCCATAAGAAAAGCATAGGACCCCCCTGCGCTCCTCACTTCCCTTGGACCCCCACATACCTCCTTAAATGGTTATTAATAACCGCTGTGATTCATAATTTTTTTTTAAAACTGAACGCGTGGTTTTATAGAAACTGTCAACTCCCCAATAATATACCTATATACTTGACGCAAATTATATCTCGGTCATTTAAAATACGCTACATCGTACCTATTCTCTGTGGAAGAACAAAAAAATTCTTAAATTAAATGCCAAATTCCTCTCGAACCGGAATACTAACACTCGTTCATTCCAAACCTATTTCAATAGCAGCCGAACCTAGTCCGGAATTTGACAAGTAATTGAGCCGGCCTTCGAAAACGAATGAAATATTTATACACATATTGTTTAACTTGTTACAGAACACAAAACAAATGTGACATTTAGAGGCTGTTAAGTTTAAAACATCCCGAAATGTATATAATATCGAGTTTCGCCTTTTCAGAGCTGAAATGGGGCTAATTTTATAAAAGATACGTCTAGGCATAGAATTTCAAATATACAACTTTTGGTACTACCCCCATAGAAGACCGGAAAATAAACTAAAAAATAGAGAGTAGGAAATGATTAGAATATATCTGGTTAAAACAATTGGAATTAAAAATACAGGAAATAGTGATTATATTGCTTGAGGTACCGACAAAATAAACAAAATTCTAAAGCTCTAATGGCTCAAATATTCTTACCTACCAAAAATTTACCACAACTTTTTAATTCGTTCACTTTTTGCAACTAAACTACTTAATATTAAAAAAAAGTTACAAAAACTGCATATTTGAATTTCTCGTTGAATTTAAGATTTACTTTGATAAACTTACCAATAAGTGTTATTTGATGTTTTTTTTTTTAATTTTCTTCAATTGGCCTTTGTAACATAAATAAAACGTAAATATAAAATTTCTTTCAAACTAAACATGATAGTATGATTGCGGTTTTCACCATTTGTTCAACCAGAAACCTACATTTTGCACTACTTACTGAAAATAGTAAAATAGTAATTGTAGGTCATGATATGTTATTTTTGGAATTGTGAATATTTTGCCTATTTTAAATGGAATTTTACGAGTATATTAAATATGATGTACAGATGCAGAATTTAATTTCCTTTCGATTTTATGGAGATATGTTGGAATATACTTTTTATAGTTCGCGAAATATCCGCGTTTCCTTTTTTTTGTAATTTCCATATATGGATAAAAAGTAAATAAAAATAATGTTTGAACATCGTTCAAACCTGAAGTGTCATCTGTATTTTTAACTATTAGAGTAAGCAAATAAATTTTCTGCCAAAGAAGCCATCATTTTTTTGAAAGTATAATCATATAGTCAGTTATGTCCTTAAAAAGCTTACTAATAATAAAATAATGAATAAGATTTTAATTATTTTTACATTTTGGATTAGAAACATACAGGGTGGGCCATTAGTGTGAGAAAGTAAAACAATTCCCTTATTACTCATAATACAGAAAAAAAGTTTATATAAAAGTCATACAGAATCAAGAAACCTGAACTACAAAATTAATTTGATACATACAGGATGATGAGTAACAACGGGACACGCCAAATATTACATTTTTGAGAGAATTCTAAATCAATATCAACAGTTTATCATTTTAGTGCGGGGTTGCCAAGTTATGTAGAAAATTCTTCGAATTTTGAAATTTTGGAAAAAAACATGACTTCAAAGAAGTTGTATTAACTTTCAGTTACTAACACTTGGAAAATTGTTAGTTTTTAAGATGTAGCAACATTTTTGAAAAAAACTAATTTTTTTTATTTTATAGAATACCAAAAATAAATATTAACTAATAAAATTATCTCAAAATGGAATGATAAATTATGAACTGACAAGTTGACACAATGTGACAGTTTTTTCCAGTCATTTCGTGCGACCGAAAATAATAAAAATTAGGTTTTCCAGAAATATTGCTATATCTTAAAAACTAACTAAAAATAAAATACAAGGTGTTTTGTGTGTTTGAAAAATGTTAGAAAATCAAATTTGAACTTTCTTAAAATGATCGTACTATAAAAAATGCCCTGTATAAAATATCGATATTAGCTTATTAGCTAATATCGATATTTAGCTAATATAGGAGTCTTTGCCTAACATTTGCCTATAGCTCTGTCAAATATTTTTGCTCCAAGTGTTAGTAGTTTAACACTTCTTCGGCGTCATGTTTTTTCCAAAATTCGAAGAATTTTCTACATTACTTGGCAACCCCGCACTAAAATGTTAAACTGTTTATATTGCCTTATATAGAATTTTCTCAGAAATACATATGTTTAAAAATATACAGGGTGTTCCATTTAAAAAATATAATATTTGGCGTGTCCCGTTTTTACTCATCGCCATGTGTGGTTCAAATTAATTTTACATTAGTTTTTTGATTCTGTAAAACTTTTATATAAACTATTTTTCTGTATTATGAATAACAAGGGAGTTATTTTACTTTCTCACACTAATGGCCCACCCTGTATATTTTCCAACGCTGAACAGTAACAAAAAGTATGAAAAACCTCGAATATCTCGCAAACTACAGTATCTTAATACACTTAAATAAAATCGAAAGACAAATAAATTTGACATTGTTTCAAATTTAACCCATCCTTTCATTGAACAAAATCAAATTGCCCATAATCCAAAAACTTAAAAAAAAATACATTGGCTATTTGTTTTAATTTCAACATTCAACACACTGTGAATCAAGTAAGCAAAATGTTAGAAAAGCTCGATAATAAAATATCCTATGGCTATAGAATAAAATTTAGAATAATCAGTCATTTTGTTATAGAAAAAAAAAAGATAAATTTGAATTTGCTGTAGTCACTGATGTCGTCTGCGAAAAGCAAAAATATTTAAAATATTACTGTTAAAACTGATAGGTAGATCATTTACATAAATTAAAAAAAGGAACGGGCCCAAAACCGATCCCTGCGGAATACCGGTTATTATTGCAGATTTTTTTAGGGTTTTTGTAATAATTTTGTATGTTCATTATTGCACACTATTAAGACCTTGATTTCTGCTGGCATCGAATAACATTGCTTGACTTCCTTTGATAAGATTTTTTAGAAAAAAATTGAATTTGTTTGAATTAGCTTAATACTTTTAAAAAAGCTCAAGGAACTTGACTGTTATTACAAAAAAAATTAAACGTTAGACATGACAAAGTTCCATTACCTTCTAATTTGCAGTACGTCCAAAAACTCCAATTCCAACACTATAAAGCACTTTCACAGAGAAATTACTACACGGAAACACCAAAATATCCTCACCCTTCGAATTAGTCCGGTTAGAAACACTGTGGAGAACCTAGCCGGGTCCAAACTATCGCAGAGTTTGCTGAATAGACGGCGACCTTAACGAGCGGCTCGAAAGACCAGCTAACGCTCACCAAAACATAAACAACACTGGCGGTCGCCAGTAAATCCGTTTTACGGCGGTGATGGTAAGGTAGGTAAGATGCAGAGTTTCGTGGGCAACGGCCTTGCGGTAATAATGCAAGGTCGTATGTAGAAAGGCTAGTGCACCTGTCAGTGGCGGTCTTGACATGGGGGTGGAAAAGTGGGAAATTTCAATTTGCACCCTGGGTTATTTTGTCGGCTTCTTTTCCCGGAAAACGTCAATAGGCTTATTCGATAATATTTAATTTATGGCTTTTTTTTCACATTTCCCGCAAGCGCCTAACCCCCTAAATATGTATTGAAAAAATTAGGTCAATAATTTTAATATAAACGGCGATAAATCATTTCTAAAATATTTGAAGCGGTTGAAAAGTATTGTGACGTCACACCACTCGTTTGGCTCCATGTTCATTATTTATTTTGAGAAAGAAATTGTTGAAAAAATATTCTAATTTTTTGCACATCAACCAAGTGAACATGAATTAAAAAAAGGTGGTAAACGAGTCCATTTTGACTTGTATTTGAAGGCTTATAACATCGTCATCATAGAATTGTACAATAGTATGAAGAAGTTAGCTATTTTATTTGGCTCACCTTGTAATAACCGACGCTAAAATATCTGACTTCCCAAGTTACTGTTCTGTATATTCTACGAATGAAATAGGTTTGAATGAAGTAGTTACAGTTAGTTGTGCTTCGTTAAATTTTCGGCTAACACATTAATTTTTCGCTTTTGAACCAATTTTTGCGTTTTAATTTTTCCGCTTTACGACTTCGAATATATGCAATAAGCGCGAACATAGTTTTTAATTCGATGTTTATGTGTACATACGTGTGTGTTATAATGAAAATCTATAACACGCTAATTGAATTTGGATTGATGCTCGATAATCTTTTACTGCAGTTGCCCACAAAATGGAATATTTAAAGTAAACTAAACACAAAATAGGCGGCATATCAGTGAATTTTTGTCGCATTGAATATTTTTTATTAATAAAAAAAACACAGTTTGGCATCAAATATTATTAGCTATAAAATATCTGAAAAGCAATCGTTGATGCAGCTTTATATTGTAGTACATGAAAGAAGTTTATCCAACCTTTTTAATTTAGTTAATTTATATCTTAGCTGAAACTAAAATATTGAATCCGACAATATAAACTTAATTGTGTGTGAAAAACATATTGATTAATTTAACTAATTTGTTAGAAATACGAATAACGAGTATTTTGTAATTACTTTCTGTAATAGCCCAAAAATTGCATACAAAATGAAATTTCAGAAGGCTTTTCAATTTATTTATTATTCAGAATAGTTTCAAATTGGGTATCCAAACATCTCATAACTGAAATTTCGATAAAACGTCTGATTATTATCGATAAAATACTCGGTTTCTCTTCTCTCTCTAACTCTCTACAAATATGTCTATTTTTCACGTCATGTGAAAATAAACTACGGCCCTGGAATGTACGATTTACTTTCGGACCTTAGAAAAAAACGTATTTATTTTGTTATACGTTTTAATTAAATTTAAAAAAAAAAACGGAATGACAAATTGTACCATAACAGTAAACTTCCCTAATGGAAAAATTGTTTTCAAAGACCGCAAAATAGGGTTCATGTTTTTAATATAGGTGGAATCTTTTGTTTGCGTAATAGTGTGGCTGTTACACTTTTATAGAGCAATGAAATGTTAAACCAGATCCGCACTGGTCTATATGCCCATTAGAAATATGCTATTGTAGTGTAAAATGTAATAAGTGTTGTGTTCTATTTCAAAAAAATATATAATTTTACAGCAATTTTTCTTTTAATATGTTCATAAAATAAGTACCTACTTATTAAGCCGAAAAACTAGTTATTTACTGTTGTACTGTATGATCACTAACGTGAATTGTTGGTTATGAAAAGGATTCTGCTTCTACGACCTAAATATATTTTTAATTTCCCTTTGGAGGTAGCGTACGGCACGCCTCTGTGCCAAAGAGCTAAAAAATAAAAACATTCACTTCTTCAAGAGTACACCAGGATCCCGCCGATCTGGCGTCAGAATCCGTGCTCGTCCAAGTTATCTTGGCACGAAAACGCCAAAAAAAAAAAGGAATTAGAACTCTATCGATCAGAAGGAAAAGTAAAACTTTCGTTTTGGTCTGACTTGTAGGTTTTCCCCCGGTTCCTGTTGGGTAGTAATAGTTTATTTAATTTGATATCAATTGAAAACAGTAAGTCTATTCATTGTCGAAAAATATTTGTAAAATGTCAAAGCAGCTTATCTGAATTTACTGAATTAGCGAACATTTGATGTATTTTAATAAAAATTAGTGATATTATTCGTTTAAAGATGAATACTTCTTCCCTCTGGACATGCTGCATATGTCAGGAGATAAATAATGTTAAATTATTAATGTTTGCCTGCTATTCCACAAATAGTTAGATTTCAATCATAATTTGAGTCTGTGTTCATAATTTGCTTACTTTCGCCATAAATTTCGTTGGTTTGATTTACTTCTCGTTATCGATAAAAAATAATAAAAGAATAAAAGGCCCTGCAATATCCAGTATTTGAGTATTTATACTACTCTCGATCTTTGAGGCTTCAAGTTGGGGTGTATTTACAAAACGGGAGTGAAGTGGATAAAATGGAACTCCTGTCTGGGAACTCTCCCCCACAGATACCTCCAATAGATTCCTCACATTCACCGGTCGCCTTTTGCCGTAAATCCGGTTCCAACGCATTCCAGATGTTTCACGGAGAGAAAATGAAATCCAAACGCCGAAATCGACGCAGGGTACGGCCTTCGGAATATCGAAACCGAAACCGAAATAAGAAACCCATTGTTACGGTCCGTTACGGCCTTGAAAAAAATGCATGTCTCCACGGTAGCCGATAGAAATTTGTCGCTACGACAAAAAAGGAAGTTAATCGATTTAAGAAAGTGTACCAATCACGCGAAAGGCAAGCTCGCTAGCCACGCCGAGATTGTTGAAAATAATGAGAAGAATTAATACCCATACAGCAAATTAATATTTTAAACAACTTTTTAAAATGTTATTAGTCAAATATATTTTGAAAAACGTTTTTTAAACATACTAGAACTGTTTTTAAAACATTGTTGAGGTTACAGAATCAACATTTTGAAAACAGTTAAGAATTTGACTACAATAAATATTTTCTAATCATTTATTTGAAAATTGTTCAATAATCATGGTGGTTTTAAAGCTATTAAGGCGCGTGCAAATATTTAAAGTACGATGGTTTTTTAGGTTAAGTACATGAGAATCTTAGCTAGGAAAGTCTGACATGCCCTTGTTGTTCTTGGGCTAGGCTCTGTGGAAGCGGACCCATTATTAGAACCCTCAGGCCCGCCCTGATATTCATTTCAGGTCTTAGACGTTCCGTAGTGGGCTTTGCAACTGGTCGTATCCGATGCTGAAGCCGATAACGCGGAACCAATCTAAAGAAACGCGCATGCGGGGTTTTGAAGCAAAATGAATTTAGTCTCAGTACGGCCAACTCGTGAAAAATTTTCCTTTTCGTGAGAAATTTTATCTCAAAAGTGAAAATGGGAATCTGGCGACAGATAACCCTGTACATACAAGATGAAAGTTTCCATGCCAACCGCATTTTAAAGACAAGTAAAAATTTTAATCAAGAATACCTTTTTCTCGTAACATGACAAATAAAAATATTTTCCCTCTTTTCCACTCTAACCGTGGACATACAGTATACAAGGAAAACTACACATATAAATCGTACAAATGCAGTTCATTTTAGTAAACATAACATAATTTCTTCTAAAATTTCTTATTTTAAATTCATGGAGAAATATGTAATAGAAACGGAAATTTCTCTATTAGCTGTTGGATTTTTTTGCCGAAGCTGGCAGCACTGATTTGAGTTTATACAAGGAATGAGAAAAAGTGAGCCATTTCTTGGGTCATGCAAAGGCGGCGTTGATATAATTAAGTAGAGTATGAAAAAAATGCGCGAAAAATTTAAAACGTAACTATTATTTTTTACTAATTTCTTAATAAATATTAAATAAGACCTTCCCCTTATTACCCGTTATATAAATTCTATAGCTTATACCGTCGGGTCCTTTGTCCCTGTCATTCATCTTCTCGTTTCTGGATCGCACTAAATGACGTCACGAATTAGCGAAGCAGCAAATACCAACAATACGTATTATTAGTTATTCATGTTTTTGTTGAAAACGACAAAGTTTTTTGAAAACTAACAAGAGCAAGAAAATATTTAGAATTAAATTCCTCATAAAATAAAGTAATAATTTTTTAAGTCCGTCAATGGATTAAAAAATTCTGTCATATCTTAATGGTGCATCATTCCTTATCAACATTTTAAAACGCTTCAATTGAACTCTACTTACTCTCGCTCTTGGTATACTCACCGTGTACCAAATTTGGTTTTTCCAAGTTCAAATATAATTGAGATATTGATTTTTTCGAAATTTGAAACCCCACTTTCAAGGCGTGCAGCTTAGTACAAAGGTAAATTGCGTTAAATCACCAATCACCCTGTATATGCAAGTTGCCCATTGCCCAGTAGGGGATGCAATAAATATTTTTAAGGATATGTTTCATTTCTTTGATTAAAATATGTGCGTTTTGTCATTAAACATTCAATATTTATTTACAGTTACAGAACACGCGGGTTCACGTCAAGACTTGTATTCAGGAATGCGAACAAACTACTTAGAAAATTAATTGAACTAAATTAATATGGGTTAGAATTTGGAACCTTAACCATCCAATGCCGTGTTCCTTTCAAAACATTTCAATAAAAAGCAATTAGAAAATAATTAATAGATATACAAAACAACTTTTTTAATCGTCCAAATAAGAAAACAATTACCGCAAGCAAATGGCTGACTAGTGAAAAATTTAATTAACATTAACGACGAAAATGAAAGGACATCGAAGTTCGCGTTTTCTATTAGTGGAATCAGCGGTGGTTCGTGAAGGAGCGCAA